CATTGAAAGGTTTTTAATTACAATTTAGATTTGAAGGAAAATATGGCAATTATGTATAAAAGTAATTCAATGTATATTTAACACAGAAATAAAACAGAAACACTGAAGAATGAACACCTTGAAGTTCATTTAGAAGTATTTATATAATAACTTAAGACGTTATCTTTCCTGTCTGTTTCTGTACTTTAATTGGCATAATTAAATTAAAGAGTAAAACAAATTACTCTTGACTTGAGACAAACAGTTGTTTTCCCTTTCATCATAACAACATGTTACAAGTTATCACTGACTAGAATAATAAAGACTTAAATGTAAGATTTGTACAGACATGTTATATTTGGTCATTGGACTCAATAGCATACAGGATGGAGCTCAGCATCTCTAACATCTCTATTTACAATGATCTATTTAAATTAGTAATGGTTATCATATATATCTGTAATGAAAAGAGGCACCAGCTATTTCTTGAACTATTTTCTGACTTATTTGTTTTTCTTTTTTGTCCTGCCTGCAGTTTACAGTTTATTCTGCAGTGGTGTGCTTGACTGCTCTCCAGCCATTCATCAAGCCACTGCTTTCCATTATTTGGTGCAGTCAGCTGAAACTGAGAAAAGCTTTTTGGGTGGTATGGCTCATTCTTCCTCCACTAACTCTCTGTTCTCCTCAACAGAGATGTTCTTTGTATTTTTAACCTCACGCCCTGGATGAAGAGTCATTAGACGAGTTTGCAAAATAATAGATGCTACATAATTCTAAAATGATCCATTTTTCAGAACTGGTTTCCCAAAGTTGGCTGAATTACATCAATGTTAAATCAAAACAGAGATCAAAGATTTCCACATCATCAGTTATGATAAAGCCCTCCATTAACATTCATCAGCTAACTCTCTTAATCCTCTCTTTAAGTACGGGCATAGAAATTTCAATCTTCCTCATATTCACATTTTCCAGATACCCGCCCAGACCACTTGCAAAATCAATAACCCAAGTATCATATTCTTGGCTTCTAATATTGTCAGACTCCAATTCCATCAGGGTAAGGTCTGAGCCGCATTCTGATAACGCCATGAAGCGAGGCTGGTTGAGATGAAATGAAATAGTTTATCATTAATGCTCACTCAACAGCCAGCCAATCCTAACATCTGTATTCATATTTATACTCTCCAGCTGCTGCTCAGACCTCATCCATGCTCACATATACGCAGATGAAGAGGCTGTGTTTCAGCAGACATCTGCTTCTGTGGTTCTGCTTTAAAATCCAATCATCAAACATGTTTACGAAGACCACCCCCCACACCCCTTTTTAAATTCTGCTAATTTCAACTGTGCAGGAAAACATTGGATTCATGAGCCTGTGTCACTTGAGTCTGTGTGACAGTTAATGTCACAGTGGAGAGTTGTGTCAGCAGCATTCGGACTGTGTGCTGCACCGCAAACAACTTGACTAATCTCGTGTGTGCTGACATTGTGACTGATGATCAGTGTGCTGGTGGCCCACCTGAATGTGGACCATAATCTCCCAGCTCAGGGTGATATTGCCAGTTTCAGCTTTCACTGGAGTGGTCTCTACTCGAGCGCTAAGAAAACAGCAGCTCTCTGATCCATGTGACTGTCATCAAAAAACATTGTAAGAGAGGAAAGCACTGCTAGGGGACCAATTAGCTGTAAGAGTTAAGACCATAAGCAGGCTAATGCTAGAAATGTTCTGATCAAAAGCACAAAAACAAAACGATAAAAAGCTTTGGTTTGAATGGATTAAATTAAATTTTATTGCAAAATGAGTTCATTTTCAGTTCAGGGTTCATTATTCCACATTTGTAATCGTAACCTCCCCTTTTTCAGCAGCCTTAGGGAGGCTGGATTGGAAAAAAAAGAAGGAGGGAGAGAAACACTGACGTGACTTATCACATATTGATTTTTTTTTCTTCTCTTATAGCACTTCATGATATTCATAGAATAAAGAGGGAGGGTTACCAGCATGCTAAAGCTAATGGTATTCATGTTTCAGAGGGCGCCAGCTACTTTCATCAAGATATCTCAGGTTACTCAATCCTCACCTCACCTGCTCGCTGTCATGGCAGATAGGCTGCATGCTGTCTTTGTAAATATGTGCAAGCTGTCAACCTGCAGCTGGCCTTCACTAAAAATAAGTAGTTTCATGCTATTCAGTGAAATATATCTAAGGTTTGAAAGAATGCAGCAATGTCCAGCACTGAAGTCCTCTAGCCTGCAGATCTGATATGCTTTGTGTTTAAGGCATGGCCTCTCCTCCCCTAAGGCATATTGCAAAAGTGCAGGTTTATTCCTCATTTCATCACTGCACTTCACTGAGTCGCTTTGGATCATCAGTGGAGCAGACAACCTTCATACCTCCATTACTTCTCTCAGAACTGTTTGTTCCCTTCCACTAGCTCTGCTTTTATAGGAAAACACAGCCATGGCTCAACATAATCTACACTTTTACCTTGAGGCTTTTATTGTATCTTTCTTTACTTGCCGTGTTTTCGTTCATTTACTGGGAAAGCCACAGTGTGCTGCTGTGCTGTTTTCATTCTGATGTCACAATTTGTGTTTAAAAAAAAAACCAATATTGTGAAAATGTGTGTGAAAAGCCGAAGCCATTTAATGCGTTTTCAAATAGACCTGCCTGTCTTGTTTACTATGCCTTCAATGTGGTCATTATTTCTTCTATGTATTAAATAAGCTAATTGATAAAGATGCTGCAAACCCACACAGGTGCTTTCTTTTAATGTAGGTAATTAGACCAGTCAGGTAAACACCATGACCTTGAAAATAAAAAAAAGCTACATAGAAATCAACCATCATGACTGCATGATTAACAGCTGTGCTATTAGAACAGAAAAGTTACAGGTACATTGGATTTTATTTGTGCTTTTTTATCTTAAATAAAAATATTAAAAATATTAAAGACAGAAAAGCAGCAAAAGATAATACCATTATTATAAAGAATAAGAGATATACTATATTATCACACACTTAACACCTGATGGAAAGCTAGGGATTCGGGTGTTCCAGGAAAATTTCTTTGGGTTCTGCCTGTGTCAAGAAGTCAGTTTTAAGTATTTTACTCCGTCACATCGTTTGATATAAAGTGGTCCCACACCTTTTTGTACCACATGTGGCAAAAGTTACACAAGCTGAATTCTGGGTCCTGTGGAATATCCCTCTTTGTCACGAACCAAGACATATGCTTCTTTAAAGCGAGGTCATTGGGTCACACAGCACAGTGCAGCGTCCTTGCAACCGTCGTGGTTCAGTGACTTACTAGAATATTGTTTCCAGCTGCTCTGCATAAGTAAAGCGGACCATTCCTCCAATCTCCATCTCAAAAGAAAAAAAACCTTCAGTTGTTGGCATTGGGGATGTCAAGACAGTGGAATTTTATCATTTATTAGTTGAAGCCCAGTTATCTGCAGAGCACACTAACCTGGACTTGCACTTTTTTTTTAAACAATGATGGCAGATGGTCAAACTTTTGTTAAGTTCAACAAGCATAAATAAAAAGAAATCAGCAGAAAAATTAGCTTAAGACATCCTGTACACCATAACCAAGGTAAAACCAGGGGATTATATTCACTTGTGTTTTTCTTTTCTATAGCACTTGTGTGAATAGTTGTGAAGAGTGAGCAATATGCACTGGAGCCTGACATACATGTTATGCAGGAACTCACAAAAACACCTCCACATAGGCTTCAATTTCCATTTTCAATATGACATGCAATTCTGGTTTTTGTGGGAGTATCTTGCTGAGATCCAGCCAACTGCATTTGAATTATTGTGATGATGACGTCTTTGCTGATGTGATATTGTGCGATTGGATGTTGTAAGCAGATAAGCAAAATGAATGCTGGAATCATCTTTTTCACATTACTAATAATAGTCAGCCTCACCTTCACCTCTAACTGACAATGGTCTCCATGAGGACAATGGAGGTCAAGGAAGGTCCACAGACCTTTTGCTCTCCCAGCCTCCTCTGCTTCCCCATTTGAGCTGGACTAATGAGGCGGACAGCTGCTCCCTTAGTTGAGATGTCCCTGTAGTGAACTGTACCTGGGAGAGGCAGGCACAATGTCACCTTCATAGTTGGGCACATTAAAAGAGGAAAACAAAGCAGACCTGTAAAATAAAGAGAAAACAAGCACAAAGCCTAGCTTGTGGAACGTAAAACACTGCCAGACAAACACTGCACATTCAGCTTCAAGGGTGAACTCAGCAGCTGTAATGCAGTTGTTGTTCAATGCTGTCATTTTTAAAAGGCTGGTCTTGTCAGGCTCATATTAGCCTACACTTTGTCTTCTCACATTTCAACACAAAAGAACATCGGTTTGAGACATCTGTTTCAGAAGCCTGGCAGAGTTCAATAAAACACAGGCAGGCTAGAAATGCTTCTGCAATGTAATTAGGGGACTTTGCTGAGACGACAAGTACAAATGTGGAATAAGAAGGTAAAATCCAGCAAGGCTGGGTGATTAGGCCTCATTTGGATGTCTTCTGCACACTGTGACGAGCGGCTGTTTTAGGACAAGGCAGTCGCTCGGATCGAAGGCCCACAGTGTCAAGGATTATGTGTCAATTTACCACCCAGCTGCAGCTCTAGACTCTACAGCAGAACATGACTACCTCTAATTAGGCCATGCTACCAATTAGAGCCTTGCAATAAGGCAGTGAAGGAAGCGCTCTGGGAGAGTTAAACCTACCATTGTTTCCACCATAAAAAAAACACAGTTTTTTAGCTCCACCAGCTGTGGAAGTCCAGCGTCCAAACCAACCAGGCTTCCATGATGCTATCTCTGGTTTACTGCGATGTAATGAAGACATTTATGTTATTGACCATGTGATGACAGAACATTAACGTTCAAAAGGTGCCAAGTCTGAATGGTGCCTTGGTGTGACAAATGAAAAACAGCCAAGATCAGTTTGAAACAGCAATAAATTCATGTCATGACCATGACCACGAACTCTGTCTCATATTCCAACAGGTAGCCAAGGTCAGTTCCCCATAACTCAGAATGTGACGGTGGTGGAGGGGCGCTCAGCCAACATGACCTGTCGTGTGGATTTCAATGATAACACTTCCCTCCAGTGGTCAAATCCTGCACAACAGACCCTATTCTTTGGGGACAAGAAAGGTGAGTAATAACCATGGAGATAATGGCTGTAATGATAAAATGATGAGATATGATAAAGATGTCTTTGCTAGATTATATTACCAGAGGAGTCGTCTTCATCAATTTTTCAAATGTGAAATGTAGAAAATTGGCCCTGCCTGCCTGTGAGCACAATTTGTCTGAATACATGAAAAAGACAGGAAAAGAGGGACATGTATTATTCCTGATGTCAAAGCAGACTGTTAGTGATTGTATGTCTCCATTGATAACCAGGGGCACAAACTGAACAGTAGAGTGTTTCTGAATTGAAGGTTTGTAATCACACAACACTGACGGTGTTGTTTACAACACAGTACCGCCTGTGGATTGTGAGATGATTGGGCTTAATTAGCATTTTAGCTGCCCTACATTTGTATTGCTGTTTGGATGTCACTAAAAAGGAAATGCACTGTTGCAACCTTGTGAAACAAGGCCTGAGCCAGAATGAATTATAATATGCTCCTACCAGCAAAATCCAATTTAAAGGTGACAAAAGTCTGGAGTTGATAAATTGGAATTGGGGTGAAAGGGAGTACAACAGTGGACTGGTCTTGTAAAGGTTGGGGTGTTCATCTTTTAGTGTTTCTCACAGCATATTACCCATTTCATTTATGCTGTAGCTGCTAATACAATATCACTGGTTCAGTGATTGAAGATTAACTTTCCCTTTGAATAACAATTGATAGGAGAGAGAGACGCTGGAGTGAATCAGCAGAATGAGAGTTACAGTCTGGTTTGAAGAAATACTTTCTCCTCCCCAAGTGATTGGATTTAGTAATGGGGTCTAAGGTGTTTTATTAGATGAAATTACTTCCAAATACAATTAAACAAAAGTTAACTGAATCTTAAAAAGATACTCTTGTGTTAATGGTGTGAGTGTGCCCAAAGGATTTAAATTCAAACAAAAGTCATTGAACCAAAACCATTTTTTTATTTCCTGGTATTCTCTGGTGTGCAAACGATGTGGCATTTTAATTCTTCGCTTTGCAGAGCTTGTTTTAAATTCACCAAAATCATAATAAAAAAACTGAGTAACCTTTGTTCCTTTTATTTTGAAGACATATAACAGATAATGAATAGTTCATACCTAACTTTTAGTTATTTCATTTAACTTAAGCCTGATAACTGATTTGTTTACATTTCCCTTCTCCTGTGAATAAAAAGTAGGCATCTGTATCCACATGTGAATCGAAAAGGCTTCTGTTATTAGCATGCTATAAGAGCTTGGAGAGCACAATATGTATGAGCATCTTTGCCCTTCATGGGCAGCCATTTATATTGTATGACAGAATCCTTTTCCAGAGCAGCACAGATGACAAAATGAATGTAGTCCACTCAGCAGAGGTTGCCAGGGCTAAGTGTGGGAACACTTCCTCTCCATCTCTATTTAAACACCCAAATGAAAAGCCTTATTGGCAGAACTTATACGATGCTTGTGAGGCCATCAGGAGAAACGAGAGGCGTGGAACAACCCAGGCTTCATGTGAAGAGGAGGTTGGGACACCTGGGAAGAGATCTCTGCTGTGCCAAATCACCAGTTAATTGCTTGGCAGAGGGCTGCAACTGTCCTTCTTCTCCGTTTGTTGTGCCTTCTTGTAGAAGCCAATGAAGAATGTTAGACTCAACCTTATGCTACCTTTCACTCCAACAACTAACTGCAGACTGGCTGAGTATGAGGCAGGCTGTTCTCTCCCTCTGATGAGCAGCTGCTCATAGACTGTTGTCACAGACTAGATTAGATTTATGCCACTATGTTACATTTCAGAGTTAAGATTTCAGTTTTTTTAACCTCCTGTTTAGATAAACTTCTCCTTTCCCCTGTGCTTGTTGTCTCTGTCCATTGTCTTTGTTGTCCATCTCTCTGCTTACTACAACCCCCTTGAGTGTCCATGACAGCATGGCCATATGTTGCTGTTTCATACACATGCAAGTTTCCCCCACCCTCTCTTCTCAAAGGTAGTTTGTCACTGTATATGTGTAAACCAAAGAAAATTCAGCCCTCACAGCTTTTATGTGTGATTCTGGATGCTTAACACATACTAGTAATGATGATAAAAATACATCTGCTGTTCTGTCTTAAATTAGACAAAGCACTCTGTGAGGCATTTTTTAAAATCCACTCTCTTTTCCCTGAGCTCTGTATTAAAGATAAGGGCATTTGTGTGGATGTGTTTAGAGTTTGATATGAAATAGTGAAGGGGGAGGGGGAGTATTAAAATGACCTTGTAAATCCTTTTGAGCAGCTATAGCAAAGTAAAAAGAACCAAAGTTCCATATCATTTCAATTGAGTTTGACAGCTACTGCATAAAAAGTATGACAAAATCTGAACTCTGCCCCTTCCATAATTTGTTCCATTTTAATTCAGGTCTGACAAATGAGGATATGAAAAAAAGCCCTAAAGAGTGGCTTTTGCATTCAAGGACAAAAGGAGTTTATGTGTCTTTAAAGAATATTAAAGCCTCTTAATACCATATGCCTTCTTCAGTGAGACTGTAAGACAATCAGGATTGTGTCTTATTTGAATCTTTGAAGTGGAAGTCCTAATGTATACTGACAACAAAGTCAACAATGAATGTAAATAGGTGGTGCGGATGGCCTAGCGGTTAGGTTGTGCCCCATTTACAGAGGCTATAGTCCTTCCAACAGGTCGTCCCCCATTCTCTGTTCCCGGTGTCCTACTCTATCAATTGTCCTATCGCTTAAGTGCAAATAGCCCGAAAAATTTTTTAAATAACAGCAACGATTGATAAAAAATATCTTCCATACACTTTTCCTTGTTTTACTGTTGTTACAATATATTTGCCTTTGGAAAAAAAAAAAAAAAAAAAAACTTTGTTCACTTCAAGACACATTATGGAGCCCACCAAAAGTCTCTGAGTGCAACTGCACTGTGGTAAAACACAAAACATAAAATTTTCTGAACTTGCCCCTCTGTGGCCGGCACAAGATTACATTACACATGATGCAGATGTTTCAACTGAAAAAAGGGATAACACCAGGGATGGCAGTCTTGAATCAAGAGCAAATGTGGTCGGCTGACTTTAGTTGTTGAAGTTGAACTCAAGAAACAAACAAAAATGATGTTAATGGAAACCAAATTTCACTTATGTTAAATGTTCTGTTAATCATTTTTCAAATTAACATCCATGGTAATAAATGTTATTTAAAGAAATTTGAACGGTTAACTGATTAACGGCCATTTGCCCACCTCCTCATACTGATAGCTGTATGATGCTGTTGTTTTGCGCTAAGGTAGCAAATTGCAACAGAACCCCACAAAGACGTGAGAAGCCAGAGAACCAATACGACTGGCAAGGTCCAATTTTACTCTAGTCTAGCTTCTTGCTCTGTCACTCCATTTACTCTTCTTTGCTGCATTGGTCACTGTTCTCTTCTGTCTCTTTGCCTCAGCCATTGTTTCAAAAAGTACCCTGACAGGCTAACCTCGGTTCATTTTAGCTGTATGGCTGGCCGCTGGTGAGTGAACTAGTGGTTTAAAGCTGTATGCGAGAGAACCTGCTTTATTAGTGGCCTGTTGCCAGAGTTACATAGTTCTGAAAACTGATGAGCGAGGCTTTTTGTGGAAATTAGACGACATTCTCCCTGTTTAAAGTTATTGTACGGTCTGAGACTTCAAAACTCTTATTTTAAGGTAGAAAAGTTACATATTGTTGCTTTAAATCTTTCAGACTATTGATCAATTCTGCAGTTCTTCTGGTCAGGATAGACTCTATTAATGATAAGATTACTCCAATTAACATCCGGTAATATAGGTGCAACTTGTTACAGCAGAAGGTTCATGAAGTGCACTGTTGATATAAACCCATTGGGATTCATCAGATAGGTTGGTAGGTGAGCATAATCCGAGCAGTGCAAGTTGTGACCTACAGTTTGTCTACACAGCAATGTCTCGTCTCGTCACAGGCCTGGAGGGAGGATAAGAGATGTGGTTGCAGGTGGGGAGGAAATAGTGTGCTGGTGACAGCTCAATAGCTTAATATATCTTTGGTGAGAGTGTAAACGATAAGAAGGACCTCTATCTCATCCCCTCCCTTAAGAGGCTCAGTCAAACCTCGTGCAGCTCCAAGAGAGTGTTAACCTTGCTGGATTCCCAAAGCCGATCCATATGGGTTGGACTGTCTCTGCACATTTGTCTAAAGCTGAACACAACCCTCCTCTTATATCATGCCAGCTGGTTCCTTGGCATACTCACCCTCATCCATTATGTATATCTGAGTCTTGGTTCATTGTTGCCACCTTAGAGGCTTCAGACTAAACTATGGCAAAGACCAGCATGCAGATTCCTTCATACTATCGCCACTGAACCAGACAACAGACATAGATTCGCTTAATAGCCCGGCCAGCGCATCATTCATGCATTAGGCCATTTAGCGGGGACCATTGAACGGAGAGGATGTGTGGTGAGCTGCCATGACGGAGAAATCGATTTGGAGCATATGTTTTTTGTAATGTTACTTTTACATGTTACTGGGGTTACGCATTACTATTACTGAGTTGGAAAAAAGAAAGCAGAGATGTCCGTTGCTGTCTTCATTGTGATTTACTTTGCTTTGGCTTCTGTGGGGAAAGGATGAAACCATAAGTAGCAGTGCTGTAGAGAATGGTAATGACATTCCTGCAGGGTGGAAGCAGAATCTTTTGTCAGATACGGTGAATATGAATAATGCAATTAGTGAGAAGCAACTGCTGGTTGTTCGACGAAGGCAGATAACAAATTGCTCATTTGATCTACAGTATCAGGTATATACGCACATGCTGTGGCAAATTGTACATCATTTTTTTTCTCCTCTCAATTCCAACTCTCAGAAGTTTATGGTTCATCATTCATGACATTTAATTGGGGCATTCAGCCTGGATCATAAAGGTCACAAAGCAAAATTGATCTTAATTGGCTTGTAGTAATCAAAATGCTGTTATGTGCTAAATGAATACTCTAATGTGAGCATTAAAACATTCATTA